GGGGGGTGGAGGTTAGTTGTTTTTACCGTTGCTTACCATATTTGATAATTCTTCAAATTCACCAGGGCAATCTTATTAACCCACTCGATCTCCTTATTGAGATCTTTCTCCAATGCAAAGAGTATCTTAGCTCTGTAGAGCCTGAAAAGAGAGAACGATACTCGTTAATAAATTAATGAGCTACAGCAAAAGTAGAAGAATTGAAGTAAAACACACACCACTCACCAAACCGTATAATGCGCCGGATTGATCAAAATCACATCCTCCGTTAACTCTATTGCGCGGTCTGACATCTCATTCGCCGCCATCAGAGCCCTGAGATAGGAGGTTGCCTCTACATAGTTGGGTGGATAGGAAATGGTTGCCAGCGGATACGTCCCATTGCCATTCCCGCTCACACCATCGCCTCCTTCCTGCTGCTGGTGCTGGCGCTGCTGCTGCGGGTGGTCGTTGTCATAGAAGTTTGACCCGTCATCCAGCGGAATGGGGGTGACGTCGGCCCAGGCTGGGGTGGAGTATTTGCTCATTTTTGAGGAGTTTAAATTATTTTTATTATTTTAATTTTAATTTTAATTTTTAATTTTTTTTATTTTTTATTTTTTTTTTATTATTATTATTTTTTTTTTTTTTTTTCAAATCGAGTATGCGGGATGAAGGAGATAAAGGAGGTGGAGGAGGGGATTGTCTGATTTGCCTTCGAGGAATGGCTTAGGAGGCGGAAAAGGGGAAATGGTTAGTTTGGTATGGAGGGGTTTGGCGGGGTAAAATTCGAGATTTGGATGATGATCAACGCGTATGCAAGACTTGGTGATATAAAATGGAGGAATCAAGAAGAGATGACCATCCCGCACTGTCTGAACGAGTATGTCATGCAAGAGCTAGTGCGACGTCAAGCTTTCGCGTCTCTTCTTCTTCTTCTTCTTCTTCAATACATATATCGTTTGGACGTTTTACAGAAAGGGTTTGAGGAATCTCACTGAATAAAAAAAAGTAAATTGAGCTTCAAAAACCAAGTTTTTTTTCAGACACGAACAATAGGTATATTCTTGGGTGGATCGAATAATCAGTGCCCTATATAGAGTTGTACAGGACTACCAACGGGGCAATGCACAAATTCCAAGGAGCGATATAGCAGTATAATGAGTTGTATGTAGTCAGTCAATCGAGCAATTTTGTAGTCGCCTGAAATTCTGGGGACAACAAAGAAACCCGTGACTTGTATGTCCACGTGACTGTAATTAGACCTTGGGGTCTCTTATGTTGCATGAAAACTACGCTCGGAAAGGTGCAGAAGGACAGGATGATATATGTTGATCTATTATAGCTGAATCAGAGGTGGTGTTAGAGAAATGGAATCAAATGGTGTTTCATCTAACAAGATCCGAATACTAAGCAAGCCGGGAGCAGAAACTAGTTAAACACTCCGTAGAAACATTGAAGGATAATGAGAAGAATAATAAGGTAAATAATGTGTAATAACGAAGAAAGGTAATGAAGAAGGTAGGCCGGCTAACATGAAACCATAATGCAGTATAAGTGTTGTGGAGAGAGGGGGGTTCATTAGACGATTAGACGGATAGATGGGCAAAAAAATATATAAATAAATGAAATAAAATAAAAGAGTAGAGAAAGATGATGAAAATATCACGGATTGCTCCCGTTGCCTTTTTTTTATGTGATCCCTTTCCCTTTTGAATAATAATTAAACAAGGTGAGATGGAAACTGGATGACCGGAAAAGGGCGGTGAGAGCTTGAGTTCGGAGCGTGTAAGGGAACTTGGACGTAAAGATGTTGGTGGGATGGATATTCATGTAGGGGGGTAGTGTTTTGGCAATTGCGTAGTCAGGGAGGGGTGATTAAGCGGTGATGGAGGAGATGGAGTTCGGACCGGCAGAGAGACGAGAGAAAAGGGATATGTTCGAATTTAAGGTTGGAGTATCGATGTCTTCGAAAACGAGTGAAACGGGATAGAGGATTGCTGCGATTGTTGGTCCATAATTTCACTGACAAGACCTTGCCACTCAAGATATGTCAGACATATAATAAGAAGTTCCGCAAACCAATCATCCGTCGTAGTAGTAATGTATACGAAAATTACGATTCCGCCTTGGTTCCACGCTTCCAAAACTTCCAGCCCTCCCGCCTCTCCTGCCCACCACCAACCCCAACCAGCCTCTCAATGCCCGCATTGCCAACCGCATTCTCGAATTTCCGCTGATCAATCTCCTCCCCGCCTTCTTCGTCGCTTCCATTCTTCAGAACGGCAGGCCACAGCACGCCAATCCCGTCTCCACCAAGTGTCGTCTCGTACCGCTCGAACCCTTCATCGTCCAGATTCTGCTCCAGGTGGTGCAACACGGCTTGATTGGTATTTGCTCGTAATAATACAATTGCGCACCCGCCCCCGCCGGCTCCGGTGAGTTTCGTCCACCCTATGCCGGCGTGGTCGACTAGTTCTCGAATCCGTTCGAGGCGCGGGTGCGATACACCTAGCGAGACGAGGAGGCCGTGATTGATGCGGAACAGCTCGCCAAAGTGATCGATGTCTTCGTTGGAATCTTTGTCAAAGCGGCCAGATTGGATGAAATTGTTTGCGCTTTCTGTGACCTGGTCGATGGCTGCGAGCGTAGATTCCGCCACTGCGGGGTGGGCTTTGCAGAACCTGCCTACTTTCGCAACTTCAGTTGCGGTGGAGCGGGGCTGGCGTGAATTAACGAGGAGAAGGGGGAGTTCGGGGAAGTCGAGGATGGGAGTTACGGATGGTGGTTTGGAGTAATCGCCTCTTCTGAATATGACAGCTTTCCCACCGGCTGAGACGGTATTGTCCACGCCGCTGGGGTTGCCATGTATGCACATTTCGCCAACGAATGCCCATCGGTTTATTCGCTCAATCTGGACCTCCGCCTCCTCTGGTGGTTGGTCGTGATGGGGCCCTGCTAGGATCCGTATTTGTAAGAGAAGAGCAGCGCTAAGACAGACGGCAATACTAGCGCTGCTTCCTAGACCAGCGCCAATTGGAATCGTAGAACGTAGCGTATATATCGCTGCGTGAGAGCCTGGAGAGCTGAGGGAGAGGAAGAGGTAGAGGAAGGCGGTGGCGGAACTTCTGTGGATTTTTTGCACCTCATCCGGTTTGCCAATGGATATGTCTGCGATATGTGGCTGTATCGCCTCGAGGAGTTCGGGGTCAAGAGAGGTGACAGAGTCGTAGTAGAATTTTTTCTTAGAAGGCTGGCAGAACAGCGCCCAGGGAAGCGAATCGATGTCCCACGTATGATCCAACTCAATATCTCTGAAGTTCAGCGTAATCGTGCGCTGCGATTTCGACAAGGTGGTAACGAGGAGGTAGGAGCGGAGGGAGATGGCAGCTGCCATGGCCCGTTTGCCATGGACGACTGCGTGTTCTCCAAAGACAATGACCTTGCCCGGTGCGGAGACCATGAATGCCGGCGCCATGGGCGAGGATGCTTTTCTTGACATCCTCACCCGGTTGCCGACAATGGTGCCGACCTGTTGTTCAGCTGTGTGACCGTTCATCTCAGAGAGCGTAGGAGAAGGAGTTATGATGCCATCTGAACTTTCCGACGAATCCTCTTGGTGCTGTCGTTGCCGTTGGTTTTGGGTAGAGGAGATGTTATCGATCTTCGGTGTAGCGGGGAGGTCTCTGTCAAAGTTCTCTGTTAGAATGCTGGCAACCTTCCGCCGCGCATTCGCCTTGGAATGTTTCATGCTCTCGCCCTTCCGTCGTGAAGCCTTATCCATCAGGGACAAGGATGTGTGCGGGAAGTACAAACCCCCTCTATCTCACTTTTCACACTTCGCAGCGCTTCGTCGAAGCTTGCGAAATGCAACGCAGACCTGCCAGTCACTCAACTATACCAGCAGTTTTTCAGGTGACAATGTATAGCGGGAGGGTCTAATTCGATAGATCTGAATGTGGCGGGACAGATAGTATGGTGAGAATCGTAGCAATATAAAACTACATAGCTGACATTGGATGTTGAATGATGGACGCCTGATCAGTTGCTTGCAGCGATTGGGATTTGGTACGACGGTTCGTTCCCCTGAGTCCCCTGACCGAAGAAAACATACGGGGCTACTAGTTACCTACTTACACCACTTTCCTGGATCAACACCGCTAGCTGGAACACTTACTCACGTGATGAACTCTATTTGATAAGCCCTAATTGACTTGCTTGGCTTCACCGCACAGGGCCACCAGCCCTAGGCACCAACATAGCTTTTGTCGTTTTAAAATTGGCAGTGATGTGATTTTGTTCGTACGATCAGTGATATGACGATTTAGACTTGTATAAAGAACATTTATACAGTCTGGCAGCTCTTCATCTGCTTAATCCCTGGTTTTGAACAAGCTAAAGTAGCCAAAATAAGTTGATTTTCACTCACATTTGCGTGAATAATATATGCTGAATATTAAAACTGTATCGATCGCACTATATCAGGTGAGCAAGTAATCCAGAGAAAGCGGTGAAAGTACGTTGGTTGGTTGGTTTTGGAAATACAGGAACTCTGACTGGCCCAATTTCGGTCAGAATAAAATACCAATACGACAACAACAGTAAATAAGGAGTGGCTGGCGTCTTGCATATATTAATTAATAATACACTTGCACAATTGTGAAGAAATTCCTCTACTTCTTTCTCACTTAAACGTACAACTGCATGGAAAGTAGTATCCGGGAATAGCCCAGTCATGGTCTACATATTAGACTCTGCATCGGGACTAGGATTAAAGTCCATAGCAAAAAAATGGGAGGTAATGTGGTAGGTAGGTGCAAATGATGCAAACGCACACCTGGATGTTCAAGTCATGAAGGGACAAAAACTTGATTTCCAATAAAGACAAGAATATTCGCCCATAGCGTCCCAGATATCGATCTATGATCAGCACAAAAAAGGAAAAAAAGACAAACCCCCACATCCATATATATCAGCCAGCTATCGTCAAGGCCTGAGCAACCGAAAGTTGTGAAGGTACGTTTTCCTCCACCAAATGGCAAGAGACCGGAAGCTTATATCACCCGAAATTGTCTCACCTGCGTTACACCATTTGCAGATCATAACTCCAGTTATTGTATCATTATAACTATCAACTATAGAATAAAGAAATTGAACCAGTGGTATCAAGATCGTAACCCAGGGAAGCAGGCAGTTGCCGCCTTCGGTCCAAATAACCAGGCTGAAAATTGGAAATAATCAATGTGAGGGAAAAAAAAAAAAAAAAAAAAAAAAAAAAAAAAAAGATCATAGGTTCATCGTCACCGTCATACTATTGCTATGAACCAACAAACAAGGCGGAAGCCCATCACACATGAGCTCCAGATTGCTCACGTATGACTCACTGGCATCTGCATCGCGCCACGTCCCCTCTATCGGCGACGGCAACGTCGTAAACGTAACCGCCGTCTTCTTACTATGACGCTTGATCAACTCGTTCAGTATCAGATGCTGCGCGCGGCAGGGTAGATCGTTAAATGAGAGCGGAATGGCCGTTTGCGATGGGTTGTCGCTAGTTGGCACGGAACCAGTCGAGTCGGAAACGGGTGAACTGGCCACCTTGGGTAGCGGTGGTTGTTGTTGCTGTTGTTGTTGCTGGTTTTGTTGTCTTGCGTATATCGATTCACGTGGTGCTACTAGTGATAGACCGGTTGGGGAGCGGCCAGGAGGAGTGGTGGCGAACATTATTGAGGGGCCTGTGTCCTCTTTATCGGCGACGCGGGTGGTGGGGATTGGAGCTGACGAGAATTTCTTGCTTGAGGCTGTTCTGGGGATGGCAGGGCGGTTTCCTGGGGGAGATGTATTTTGTGGACTGCCGGTGCCTGTTGTGGTGATGACAAGTCCATGTCGATGGGATGGGGGACTTGTTGCGGCATTGGAGGAGTCGGAGTCATCTGTTGTAATAGCCTCTTCCGTGCTGGCTCGGGCTAAGGCATGTTTCCTCTTAGATATCCTTCCCGTTCCTTCCAGGTGTGCCCGGGAAGGCCGTGATGTCCTAGATCCCGCTTCTCCATCACTCTCGCTACAATACGGATCGATATCGCTATCATCACTGGATAACTCCAAGCTGTCATCTGAATGATAGACCATTGAATCTAACAAATGCTGCGTTTGCATACCAAGTCCGAATCCCATCGACCTGAAACTACCAAGAGATGCTTTCCTCTTAGAATTTTCAAGAAGTTTCCGCAGCCCGTCAAATCGCGAGGCGCTACTTCTCTGACGTCCGTGCTGAAATGAAGAGGGTGGTGAGGTTGGCGACGTGTTGAACTTGGTTTTGCTTCCTTTCCGTGGACTGTTGAACCCTGAGCGATATCGACGAACGTCCTGCCACCAACCTTCGCCTTTTAATGCCAAGTCCACAGCTTCGATGGTCTTCTGGTCGATTCCTGACTCCTCACCGTTAACAATTATCTGGTAAGACTTCAGATCGCCGCTAGCAAGCCAGAAGACAAGAACCTCTGCTTCGATTCGGAGCTTTTCAAGCAATGTTGTCACTCTTCTTCGTTCTTCTTCAACATCACTTTCATATTCCACAAAAACTGCCACTCGAAGGACATATGACTTCTTCCATGATGGCACCGTATTCAAAATGCACCCCAGCTGCAAAATCAGGGTATATGTATCAAAGTTCGTGGTTAGAAGATTTTGCTTGCTTGTACCGTCGGCTGCTATTTCCGCGGACATTTGGATAGGCCACAAGTCGATATATTTCTTTGTATTACCGCGATTTGAAGCTGGAAGCTCTAGTTCTTCAAACCCCTTAGCCACGGCTACATTTATTCGCAATTTGAACAGTAGATCGTCCAATATAGTAAGATAACTTTGAACGCTCATTTTAGGGTCATTTCTGCAAAGCTCAGCCCCTATATTATGAGTATTCGAAATTCCATTGTTGTTTTGAGGATGCTTGGCTTTTAAAACGGAGTTGCATCTCAACCGGGATGTGAACGGTATATCCGCAACCAACTGATTCTTGCGAAATTGATCAACTACGACGATATTCGGCCTCATGCCTCCTAGTCCGGAGTTGAGTACGATGTTCCTGACACCCCATTCCGAAGTAGGAGCAACAGATATGTTAATAAACGCCTTCACTCTGGAGTATTCGATAAATTTCGTCCACGAGGTTTGTTCCCGCCGTGCGTCAGGGACCGCGCTGGCAAAGTCGTCCGCGACGATAACATGCCCGAGGACGAACAGTCCACCTTTCTTCAACGAATTGCAGAAATGAATCATTTTATATTGTGAGTTGAAATCGTTCACAAAAAGCAGAATTTGCGGACGCCAAAACTTAACGTGTTCTGGTCGGAGGCGAAGAAGGTATTTGCGAACTTGGTGATAGATCAGACTCTGACTTACGTCGCCCCACGACTTGGGTGGCGTTGTATAATGGATAAGGAGAAATAGTAACACCAATATACACACGCAGCCAGACGCGTAGACCCCATCGACGAAAAACATGATGACACCACTGATGACGGTTCCAAGTAAGGCCGTCCACTGGTTAAAATAATGGAAAGATGGACGAAAGTTGGGAGCAGACCCGATTTTGAGCAAGAAACAGGCTAAGTTTGTCACCAAAAATGTCATGAGATAGGTCATCGTGATGAATGATGCAATTTGGTTGATATCAAATAGCATCGTAATCTGCGCGACGACGAAGGTGAAAAGAATAGCATTAGTAGGCTCATCATGTTTTGCTGTGCCTTGGCCGAAAATGGACAATCCCGGGATGAGGGTATCTCGAGCAATGGCCTGAAGCAATTTTGCGGAGCCAATGACGCCCATTAAGGATGAAAAAAAGGATGTTGCAAATTCCCCGAGAAGGATGAGGATACCCGACAAATTAGTCTAAAAAGGGGTCAATAAGATATCAAACCATGCTTAATATAGAGTGTTCAAAAACTGACATCTTGGATGATGTTCACATCGTTATATAGGGATTGACGTGTAATACTGGATGCCATGGCTAAAATCACAACAGTGTATGTGAAGAGCGTCACACCCAGCCCACACAAGGTCCCTTTTGGTATGGCTTTGCTGGGATGCTTTAAATCGCCGGACATGCTCGCGCCGCTATATGACAATAAATCAGCTTTTCAACTTTAGGAAATAATAGTCAAGGGAATAAGTGTGTTCATACGCAAATATGCCCCCGGTAGCAGGAAATAATATTCCAAATAAATCTTGAAACGTCTCTTGAGCTTCCATTTGACTCCCAGCAGCACCCTTCGTGAGCTTCGGCAAAAGGTTGTCAACGAATGTCTTTGAATTGAACCCAGTGAATTCAATTCCCAATACTTTATCTTTGAACGGCTCCATAGCAAGGGAAGAGATCGGAATGCTGAAGGTAGCCACCAATAAGATAACAAGAAGTCCATTGCTTGCACGGGCGAATATAGAACTTCCAGCCAAGCATATTCCGGTACACAAGACGAGCACGATGGTTGCCCAAAGATATGTCCACCAAAACCCTTCCAGCAAGAATTGGGACATTTTCCCGGATACAGAGCCAAAGCTTTGGACAAGGCAGTTGATCAAACCGACAGCGTTCATTCCGGTATTGAGGACGAATCCTATATAAAATACGATTCCTATAGAACCACCAAATTCAGGCCCGAGGGACCTAGATATGAGGTAGTACGCGCCACCTCCGCGGACGGTCCCATTCGTTGCGATAGCTGAAATAGACATTGTCGTCAAGAGATTTATGAGATATGATGCCGCAAGCATTCCTGTTCAATTGGCTTAGTATTCATTCAATGACCAAAACAGTTCGTGAAAGAAACCATACCAAGAATTCCCAAAACTCCGGCTTGGCCCAGGATAAACCCAAAACGAAGAAACATAAGTATACTCAACACATTTAACGTGGTGGGAACAAAAACACCTGAAAAGGTGCCCAACTTTCCGGAGCCATCTGATACGCCTGCCCTTTGATCACACTTCTCTTTTTTATCTAGAAACTCGATATTCCGAGGAATATGATGCGCGATGGACGTGCGCCTCATTAAAACGACACTTGGATTTCTCTGCTGCTCCACGTCTGCTTGGTTGGTCGCATCATAAGTCTGTCCCTTTCCCCGACGCCTGAAAAATCTGCCGGTAAACCCACTGCCTCCGGGTTGAAGGGGGGAGGCAGACATTACTGGTTCATACGGTCTATCTGGAGCAAAGGATTGCGCACCAGCACTCTCGTTGGCCTGATTTTCAACCGGTCTTTTTTGTGGTAAACCATGACCAGCATCGCTGGTCTCGGCCATTTCGTGTGAGCCTGGGGCACACTATCGAAAGGTATGCTGCATTGTAAGAGCTGAATTCTGGTTGAGAAGGTGTTTATCTAGCTCTGCAGCAGGAAATTTGAGAACCTGATGGGAGAAGCCTATCTAGCTTTGAGGACTGGCAGGTGTTAGTAGGTGGTGGAGAAAATTGGCCGATTGCATTTGAAGGTTCGCTAGGACTGCAATCAAAAAGATACGAAAAGATAAGCAAGCTGAAGACCACCGGTAGCTGAGGAGAAGAAAGAATGTCAAGCCCCTGATACAGTCTAAAGAGACGGTGTGGTTGTGAGCTGTCGACGGTAGATATTTTCGTTGTCCGGGGTTGACCGCAACCAGCTGCACGTGATCAGGCATATGTAGATTAGCTAGCTCGTCCCTCCAATAATAGTTAGCTACGAGAGATCTACATCCCAACAGTTGAAGTCGGAAGATTATATAAGCATGTTTGAGAGCAAAACTTCACCAATCAGCGGAGACCTACCATTCAATCGAAGGTAACCTTACGGCAAATACATGTTGAATGGAGTTTGGAGACACAAGATGCATGCGACAATACAGGACAAAATCTTGGATGAAATCTACCTTGACAAGCTTGGTATGACGACATACCTTCGGCGAGTGGTGAAAGTTTTATCCGAGCTGAGACTAGATGACTCAGCAGATTTTATAGTTAGTTAAGCGACCTCATCCATTGGAGGAAATTTAAGTAACTACGGCCATTAACTAACTTCCTTAAGAGAAAAATCTATGTATGTCACAAAATGGTAGCATGTAATAATTTGGCTGGACAATTAATGTTTATGGGTTTCGAATTTGTATGAGAGATGATTTTTTTGGCTGTCGCAGTTCGCAGGGTGGAGAGAAGGTTCACAAATGTCGATACTGTCCGCTGTATTTTTTCACATGCCAATTTTTTCGTCGCCCAACATGGCCGGTGTCCTCAGCCATATTTGCTTGCCATTACGGCACTATCGTCTGCCTCCGAGGTTCTCTCGTCTTCCCACTCTATATACAGCGGCAATTATGTTGGGCCTTAATACTCTACCTCTTATCAAAAGACCAAGATGCCTACCTACCCTATAGAAGAGAGCCCAAATACTGTCTATATGATCAACGTGAACATAGATTTCTTCAGCAATGAAAATGAGAGCCGATGTCTACAGACAGCCAGGTCAGTCACCCTCCGCTTCTTAGACTACTGAAGATTCAGTTGAGCTTCACTTTGCCAACCAAGCTGAACACGATCCTCAGAAACTGCTGGACGAAGCGTTACACTAGGATGTGCTAAGAAAAGATTCCCCCCCTGCGTTAGTGAATAAGACCCTATGAGAGTTTGAGTTAATATTTGTGGCATGCTTGCCATTCAGCCATATTTTAGGTGGTTACAACAATGAGGCGATTTGGACTTTCCTCGCTCAAATCAACATTCAGGGGCCATCTAGGCTTGCTCACAACAATCAGACCCCTCGAACCCCGACTTTGCCATTCAATTAAAGAATTTAGAAGATAGCATAGCGTAAACTATGCCTCTACAAATGACTTCTTGACCAGTGTTGCCAGACATGATGTTGGCTGCCTTGGCCCAGTATCATAATCAGACGCTTAGGGTCTGGGTGGTTTAGACAATCACGGCATTTTACCATCCTGTTCCTTGATGGTTTTCATGCATGATCTCGAAATCAGGGTACAGTCCAGCGGATTCCTTAACCCGTGTGGTAGGACAAGGATATGGTGTTGGAGCTGCCAATCCACGTTGTATGACCACAAGTTCAGGCGCATTGTGCAGGATGACCCATCCTGCAAGTGCACACAGTATATGTTTTAGCAGAAGACTGACGTAAAGTTGATGGACATGGCTGGAATTTTGCATAATAGTCACTGATGCGACTTGTAACTGACCTACCATTATACGGTAGAAAATCTAATAGGGCCAGGAAATATACATAGCAGTGTAAAGAGATGCTTTAAAAATCTTCATCACCATGCTGTCAGCAGTGCTTCTCAAGCTATAATCGATTACCCCGCAGTTAAACTGCGAAAGATGCTTCACGTGAAGCCAGATGAGTCGTTCAAACGCAAATCAGTTGTCTTCCTGTGGACTGCAGAAGGTTGGCTCCTGGTAGTGATTAGGTTAAATGATGCGAATGAAGGGTGAGTAGTCAACTTTATACGCAAGATAAGAGCTCAGAGGGATCGATCACATGGACTTCAGATGATTTTCAACCTTGAAAACAATATCTACTTAAATTATCGAGTAAACTATCCCCTTTATCAGAGATGGGATACAGTTAAGTTGTGTGGGACGGACTTAGACACCTTCGTTGGAAGCTTGCAAAGGTTGACTTGAGCCAATGCTTCCAAAGTTGTCCCCCAGTCTCCTGCCACACGTGACCACGCCTTCTGACCCCAAGCTCTATTAGGTTCTTGGTTCCGTTCGACCAAGACAGCTTTGTAATAGATGATCATCGCAACATCATCGAACCACAAGGATATTTAGACACAGCTCACCAACGCACTCTTCTGCACCTAAACCACCTTATCCAATTCTCTGTTAGCCCGTCTATGGCCACAGCTCCAGGGTATATATTACGTCAAATCTATATTCTTAGTTATCCTATCTTCTCTTTCTCCCGTCCGATGGCTTTAGCTCTGCTTGCAAACAAGCCTTCATGACAACAGTAAATAAATTCCCTTTACATCATTTTTCGGGAAATCTTCTTCCAGTTTTAGATAAGTATCAGCTATCACGTTTTCTAGAAAATGTCGGAGAGTCCTGATAAATCTCCTTCTCAATCCTCCACCCCTTCACAACGGCATGATTCTCCAGGCACGTCGGCTCTATCTAGGTCTCCAGCAGCAGGGTCTCTCCCGCGACATATTGCAACCGCCCGACTTGCTTCACCAGTCCCATCACCATTTGATGGCCAGGGCGCACCCTCTCGACCAATCCAGCCCTCAAATCCCCCTTCAAATAGGTTACTCTCCCTTGCTTCAGTGGATAATACAGCATCCCTCCCAGGTCCTGGTCCCTCTGCCCTAGCATCAGCACTGCAACGGGATCCCATACAGAGTCGTGCCTCCGGGAACACACCTCCCTTAACACACGGTGATTTATCCGCGTTGACCCCCGCGAAGTCAACCTATGGCTCGTTTGATGCTCGATCGGGCAGAGACTGTGGGCTGGATCAGGGCGGTGGGACGGTGGAGAACCCGGATATTGTGAGGAGGTATTTGGTTCAGCCGCAGCAGGATTCAGATATCCATGCTTCAGGGGCAGATTCAAACTCGTCGAGAAATGGGGGAGCAGATGAGGAGTTTTCCAGTCTACAGCTTCAAGGGGGTGATATCACGAGACCTATTTATAGATGGGCAGATGAATCAGCTGGGCATGGGATCAGTCGTAGGAAAAGCTTTGTTGTACCTCGACCGGAACCGGAGAGTGAGGTTATGGATATCAATTCTATTAAGGTGCCTGGTGGATTCCGGAGAGACTTTCTCCGACGAACGGCTGCTCCTCAGGAATTAGATGGCACACATGCCTCTGATGAGGGTGAACAAAACCATGGCAGACCAGTTCTCCTAACAAACAATTTTTTGGAGTTTCTAACTCTCTATGGCCATTTCGCTGGAGAGGAGCTGGAAGAGGACGATGAGGCCCTTGAGCCTGATGAGTACTTTGCCCCTGACATATGGAATGGCCGGGAATCCATGACGGATGAGCAAAGGCGATTATTAGAGGAAGAGGCTCCTCTTCTTGGAGAAGAAACCCCAGGAAAACGTCGCAAGCATCATAAAGATCGAGCCCACCCGGCTAACACCACCTCAACCGGAGCAATACTCCTCCTTTTGAAATCATTTGTCGGCACGGGTGTGCTCTTCCTCCCAAGAGCATTCATGAATGGAGGAATGCTATTCAGCTCTATCGTGCTGGTTTCAGTGTCTCTTCTAAGCTATTACTGTTTTATCCTTCTTGTCAATACCCGGATGAAAATACATGGCTCATTTGGTGACATTGGCGGCGTCTTGTACGGTAAACATATGCGATGGATCATCCTGGGTTCCATCGTCCTCAGCCAGCTCGGTTTCGTGTCTGCGTATATTGTCTTCGTCTCTACGAACCTTCAAGCGTTCGTATATGCCGTAAGCAAGTGCAAAAACTTTCCTCGACATCAAGTTCATGATCTTGATGCAGCTGGTGGTTTTCCTACCGTTTTCCTTCATCCGCGACATCAGCAAACTGGGTTTCACAGCCCTAATTGCAGATGTTTTCATCCTCCTTGGCATCATATATCTCTACATTTACGGCTTTGAGACGATTATCGATAACGGTGGCGTGTCCGACATCAAACCGTTTAACCCAGTCAGCTGGACCCTTTTCATCGGAACGGCCATTTTCACATACGAAGGAATCGGCCTAATCATACCCATCCAAGAATCGATGAAGAAACCCCAGAAGTTTCCCGGCGTTTTAGCCCTGGTGATGATTTTGATAACCACCGTCTTTCTCTCAATGGGCATACTGGGATACGCCGCCTTCGGCTCCAAGACCGAAACTGTCGTCCTTCTCAACCTGCCTCAAGGTAACAAGATGGTCAATGGGATTCAATTCTTGTATTCCATTGCTATTCTCCTCAGTACACCACTCCAACTCTTTCCAGCCATCCGCATCTTAGAAAATGAGCTGTTCACCCGCAGTGGCAAATATAATCCAGGCATTAAATGGAAAAAGAACGGTTTTAGATCCTTTCTAGTTGTATTATGCGCCCTTGTGGCATGGGGCGGCGCAGCAGATCTCGACAAGTTCGTTGCGCTTGTTGGTAGCTTTGCCTGCGTGCCGCTCGTTTATGTCTACCCTGTAAGTTTTCAAACCTAACTTTTCCGCATCGCCCACAACCCAAACCCACTTTTCCCTATTAATTATTCCGCTACAACTCCTATAAAATAAACGGACTTGAATTTTAACAAAATCTCAAAACAATAGCCAATGCTCCACCTCAAAGCAGTCTCGAGAACCAAATTCCAAAAATTCGCAGATATAGGCCTCGCAGTCTTCGGCGTGATCGGATGCTTATACACCACTATCCTAACCATTTCAAACTGGGCCACCAGCGAATCTTCCGGACCTCCTCAGGTTTGTTCCAGCTGAGGGCCAGAATATTACGAGCAAACTTGCGAGAAATTCATGTTATACAACCCCACCCCCCCCCCCCCCCTCCTTTTTTTTTTTTTTTTTTGGGTAAGGCCCTCAAGTTAGATATTGAAAACACTCGTTAGAATCAATCTAATTAAACAACAAAGCCAATGGTGTGGCTCACCAATCAAGGCACTCACTCATGCACATAGCACACTTAGACCTCACCGCAAGAATTATTCTATTAGCGCTCAGTTGACATCTTTCTAGCCGTTTACTTTGGGTACGAAGCGCGGTTATTATTATCTTTTCTGATGTCTGCATACACAAACATACAGTATAAATCATTGTTCCATAGTTTTCGGCATCCGTTACATTTTGGTTCTTGGTTCTCGTTATTTTCATTCCTTATTTTTCTTTTTTGGAAGGAATATACAGACATGGACAGAGCAGGAGCATAGAAGAAGAATGGACCCTTCCTAACCAACACATTACTTTGTCGGTAGCAGAAATGTCAAATAGAATTGAATAACATTTTATAGAGGAGGATTTCCACACGTCTATATAATGCGACCAGATGCGTGAGTGTAAATCAATGAAGAAAACTCGAGAAAAAAGTTTGCTTGAAGCAGGACAGAGGGGTGAGTGAAATGAAAGAAATTCTCCCAAACAGATAACAATATTTTGTGGATACATGCAAAAATTATGTAAAGGGGGGTTGATATGCAAAAACTGAATTTTGCCCCCAACAACTGTTAGGGATCAGGTAAATCCCCATGGGATTGTAAACATACATCATATATATACGTGCAATACACATACATGCATGCACTGTGCACATGTACAGGTGGTATTTCCACAACAAGCAACTTTTAAAAAAAAAAAAAAAAAGATGAAGACTGGAATACAGAACCAAGAAATATTGTAAACCTTGTTTCTTTCTTTTTCATTAACCCATCCATACTTACGGCTTCTTATCCGCCACCGCCGTCGCAGCACCCGCACCGGCGTTTGCCTGTTCAGCAGCTGGCACATGAAACTTCCCCGCTCCGATAGCCGCATCCCGCCCTCCCCAGCTAGATAAACACGGAAATCAGTCAAGATGGTCCCCATATTACTAAGCCAACAACTAAACGTCAAGCAAAGGAATCGAGTTAAAAAACAAAAAGTAAATAAATAAAACAACATACTTCCACCAATTCAAATACCGATACCCCTGTGTCAGCTGAGCGCCGAAGTTTATGAAATGGCATGCGAAGAGCAGGTAGTTCTTGGGCGATACGGCGAGGGAGTAGCGCATGAATGTTCCCGAGTAGATTATGAGAGCGCCCGTCATTCGGCCGGAGATGCTGAGGTGTTTTGTTAAGAATTTCCTGGAGGGGGTTTGGGGTTTTTTTGTGCGGGCACGTTAAGACGCGGGGTGGGGTTCGGGTTGCATGAGAGGGAGCGGGATGGGCTGCGGGGTGATGTGTATAATGAATGGATGTTGGATGGACATACATTTCAGGATCTTTTTGGGTGTCCATGACGGCGGCGATGGGGATGCCGAAGTTTGAAGCTGGGCCCCAGAAATCTGTTGGTTTGGTGCGATTGTGGTTTCTTGTCGTTAGTTAATGTAGACTTTTTAATTTAATAAACGTATACATGTATATTTATAATATAATGTTTTCCCTGAAAATATATGTACCGTAGATCTGGTTGATGCTTGCAGCATGGTGCATTGTGCCCGACCTATCATATAACCCCATACAAGTTGGTTCATACAATGTAGGCAGCATGGGCTTGCTCTTTTGGGGACTGCGGTCGAGCAGTTTAAGCTCGTTGTAAGGAGATACAAGAAGGGATTAAAGGGAAAATTGGGTCAGGAATTGAACCCGCGTTTGTTTCTAAACTTACGTGTTGAGCAGAAGTAGTCGAGCACCTTGTTCGACCTTATCTTCGCATTGAGAGCTTTGACTGCGGCGGCCATCTTGTGTATTGGTTCGGTTGGGTGGATATCGGAGGGGAGAAGTGGACGGATAGGGCGGGAACAACGAGGGCAGGAGAAGTCGTTCAAGAACTCAATAGACGAGGATGCTGTAAATGGTTGTTCAGTTTAATGTATGTTTGCTGCCCAGTGGTTAATGTGTAATTGTTCTTCCGAAGTTGCTACTCTAGGATTGTTGAGTTCTACTTATTCTAGGGATGGGCCAGAGAGAGAGCGCTAACCATATTAGTAGTATATACTCGATCATGTGATGATGCGACATGTCGAGATTTATAGAAGTTCACTCCACGATAGTCTAGCAATCAAGGAGATGTATATGAGACAGGGATGACAACGGATGATATAGATTTATCGGTTTGAATGTTATTTTTTGGCTGCTTGGTTGGTTGGTTGGTTGGCTAATTTAAATTAAATCTGTCTTGTTTTGACCAGTAATGTAAAATGAGAAGAGCTGCTGTTCTCTGCTTTCTGCTTTTCGCTTTGTCTCAAAATGCATCTCAACTTCCATCCTTTGCCCAGCGCCCCAACGCCAATTTTGAAAAGTAGGACAAGTAGTAGAAGATTTTGTATAATAAAACGGAACAGACAGATTTTCCGCCCATTAGTTGAAATCTGGGTTTTTGGTGGTGCTTTAGTATGGTTTCGTTCGTTGTTTGTTACAAGTCGGATATCGGTGAAGAGCAGATTCCCCTGTCCTCAATAAGCTTTCTGTGATTGGTCATCATCGTTCGTCCAGATGCCACGTCACAAGTAGCTCTCTAAAACTCGTTTGACTTCATCGTCCTCCAAATCCTGGTGGTGGGAACCCTCGTCCTTGGCCGGGAAGCGACTGGAAGCCGGGTGGTGGTTGGAATCCTCCAGCTGCTCGCGGATGCGGTTAGCAAACGAAAGACTATATAGAGTAGAAAAAAAGAAACAAAAAACAATAATATGAGAGCAGCTTACGAGGTGCGCCAGGTACGCCAGCAGGACCACCAAAACCAGGAGGTGGTCCAAAACCAGCTACATTCCATATACATTAGTAAACCAAGTTCCCGCCATCGTTAATCCAATAAAGTAGAAAGGGAATAAACGCAAAACTTACGAGGCCCTCCAGGTGGTCCTCCTCTCCCAGGGAACCCGGGTGGAGGCGCCCCTGGGAATCCTGTGGGTGGGAACCCCCCAAAGCCTCCCGGGGGTGGTGGTCCGCCAACACCAGCTGCAGGCCCACCAAGGCCAACTGGTAACCCTCTTCCGGCAGGTCTACTAATTCCAGGTCCCGCAGCAAGGGTGGTCGGGCCAGCTCCCGACACGCTTGGCACAGTTGTTCCTAACCGCGCTGCGGGGTCTGCGGGCGGCGGTCCATCGACCGAGCAGGAGACGACGTGTGTTCCACGCACGATTGTGAGGCCCAGTGTTCGTTTCTCTTCAACTTCGACGAGGCTCGGGGTGCTAGAGCCAGGCGCTTGGGTGGTCTTTGTTGATTTTCTTTTCACGCGGCGGAATTCTTCTGTGTCTGCTAGGACGAGATTCATGTGCTGTGGGGGTTTAGTTAGCGGATTGGGTGGATGGTGTTTTAATGTCCAATAGGAGGAAGAAGTAAGGTGTTGTAGAGAAGTAAGTACCTTGTCAAATGCTAGCATTTGGCCTGTCATCTGTCGGCCATCGGTTAAGGTTACTCTCATCCGGTAGTTAATCTGAGTTTGATATGGCATGGTTAGCGCAAACCACCACCGGTATCGAAGACACCTGGCCATTTAGAGGAGGAAGACATACGAGGTTTTGCTGCAAGCTGTTAGCTAATGGGCTCTCTGTCAACAAAAAGTGCATTGCGCAAGTTACTGCTTGGTGGGGGGAAGGGTGACTTACCATCTTGCCTTGTTTAATTGAAGCCATCTTGCTTCAGACGCGCACGAATGCGACTTCGAACCGGGGTAAAATGCGGAAGATACACAGCAACAGAACCAAACGGTTCAATTCCTGAAGCTATCGATACTTTCCTCAAAGACCTGCAAAACGTAACCTGTTGACAAGTTGAACAAAAGGGCAATCCTTAGTCCCTTGTTGTTGTAGTTGTCGTTGTTCCCAAGTTGTCGCATTCAACAAACATCTGCTTTCTTTTTCTCGTTGGCTGAAGGTGAAGTCTTGATTGGGGTTGGCGCCGGGCTCGCTAAGTCAGCGCCAAGAACGCCAAGCCGCTAAGGGTTTCTCCCTCAATCCCACACAAAAACACAACAATTAACTGCAGAAGACCAGCTGCAACACCTGGGAGCATCCCTCGCAGCATTTCAACAACGACAACAAACGACTGTCGACTGTCCAGCTGCACACGCGTCGCCATGGTAAGTTTCAATGGGATCTGCTGGTTATGGGATTTAGTTCTCCAGGTGGTTGCTTAGCGATTTAATTTGATCTCTTCTTTGCTAACACAATGCGATACCCACAGGCCGAGGGAAAAAACTCCAACCCCATGCGGGAACTCCGCATCCAGAAACTCGTCCTCAACATCTCCGTGGGCGAATCTGGTGATAGACTCACCCGTGCTGCGAAGGTGCTGGAACAGCTGAGCGGTCAAACTCCCGTCTACAGTAAGAAACCACCCGATACTCCCGATGAACAAACAATTCCGAGACCCTCCTCCCCCCACCCCTTTCCAACTTGACTACATTCAACGGGGACACACAGAAAATCTGACAGGGTTGGTTTTGAACAATTTCTACAGGCAAGGCCAGATACACCGTCCGGACCTTCGGTATCCGCCGTAATGAAAAGATCGCCGTACACGTCACCGTCCGAGGCCCCAAGGCAGAGGAAATCCTCGAGCGTGGCCTCAAGGTCAAGGAATACGAATTGAGAAAGCAGAATTTCTCTGAAACTGGCAACTTTGGTTTTGGTATTAGCGAACATATCGATCTGGGAATCAAGTATGATCCTGGTATCGGTATTTATGGAATGGATTTCTACTGCTGCATGTGAGTTTGGCCTCCCTCTTCTTCATTTTGGGCCCTCCCGGGTCGATGACTGTGGTAGCTGTGGTGGCTGTGGTGGCTGTGATAGCATAAAACAAACTGTTAGATATCCTACGAGATGCAGTCACGGAGGAAATAAGAGAGGGCATTATTATTGACGTGTTGTGAAATCATTCTTGTAGGACCCGACCTGGTGAACGTGTCGCGAAACGCAGACGATGCAAGTCCAAGATCGGCTCCAGCCACAAGATCAATCAGACAGAGACCATCAAATGGTTCAAGTCCCGTTTCGAGGGCATTGTCCGGTAAACGGGACCTGGTTTTCTCTTGAAACTTGCAAATTTCGTTAAAGAGCGAAAAGGAAAGGGAAACAATGTGTGTGTGTGTGTGTGTTTTTTTTTTTCTTTTTATCCAGCGTCAGGTTTGGGCATGTTCTTGTCTCTTCATCATTTCCTTCTCCTTGTTCTTTATATTATAATGATGTAACTGAAAACGGGAAGGAAAAAAAATCCAAAGGGGAAAAGGGAGGTATCGTCCTCGCATCTTAACCCCCGTTGTTTTCCTCCATCTCTCAACTTTTCTTCCCTACACAAACCCCCCGATACATTACATATCCGATTCAATGACAAATGAAATTTTCTCACTTGGCTCAAGGAAAGAAAAGAAGAAGCAATCACCTTTTTCCTTTTTTTTTTTGAAATATTCAACAATGGAGGCTTCACATAGGGTGTCGTTCCGCTTAACCATTGTTTCAAACAAAAAGAGAGATTCTTGATTCTTTTGCTTTCTTTCCTTAACTCTTTTCTGGGGTGCGTCGAGTCGACCCTCAGGCGGCCTGATTTGAAGCGGGAAAAAGAATAGGCAGACCACATCCTGCCCTGGCTGATATTGGCTACGTCAAAGCGAAGGGCCAGACAGCGGTGGGATTTGTCAGTTCTTTCTTTTCTGCATATTTACCAACCTCGCCTTTCGGCTCTTACTTCTTTAGGAGATGTTTACCTGGTGGATTGAAATCTCTCCCCAGGTTATCTTTTAAGGAAGAAATGGTCGGAGGGCGAGGTTGAGCCCCTGTATGGCCTTTTTCCCCCCTGGGGTGGTGTACACATGCACTTGTAACGGTGGCTTTGTGCTTTCACATATGACTCCAGCAATTCCGCGTTATTGTGTTCCTACGCGCTAGCTGGATGGATACGTAGGTGGATGCTCTGCTTCTACCAAACTGAGCTTGTTAGACTTGTCAGCAGTAATTCGTATACTTGCATACATTTCTATGGGAAAGGAGTCGTTGAGTAGTGTCAGTATTGAGCGCGAGTAGCCAGCCAGGTAAGACGTGAATTGTATCTGTAGAAGGACAGTATGCGTTGTTGGTCCCCCTCAAGAAACTAGCGGTGGAGACCATTAGGTCCCTTGGTTTATCAGACGAGGATTGAATTATTGACGAACTCTCGCACCCATGAGGTTGAGTCCTTGATACCTCAACAGCTTTGACTAGTCATACCTTTCACAATCGATGTTAATAGGGGGGGAGGGGTTTAATCATCCTTCCAGCTCATCTGGCGGCATTGCATACATTCTCATTGCTGAACTTCTATTATTTGAATGGTCACAAATTGAGGGACCTCTCTGCCCCTTTCAGGTCGTTCAAGTGGTGTGAGGTTTTGATGTGGAAATTTTCAGCAGCATCGCACACAACGCGCAAAAAATATCTGCATATGTGTAATGACCGAGCCGCCCTCACTTCCGAAAACACCCAACTCCAGATAATCCGGTTCCCCCCCCCCCCCCCCCCCCCGCCTTTTTTTTTTTTTTTT